GACGTCAGCGCGCTGGCGGCGGCGGCGGCGGCGGCGACAGAGGCGCCTGGGTAGTGGCCAGGGCCCGGCCGAGCCTCCTGCGCTTGGTCTTGAGCACGCGCTCGGTCTTGCAGGAGGTGTAGAGCGCTTCCACGTCTTCCCGGGAGATGAGCGTGCATTTGGCGGCGTGGAAGGCGATGCTGTTGATGGCCTTGAGTTTTCGCAACTCCTCCAGATCGCAGTGGTGCTTTTTCACTTTCAGATGATCCATGCGCTTGTGCACGGTCGTCCTCGGGATGTTTTTCAGCAGATCTGTGAAGACTTGGGAAAGGGCAAACATTTGCTTGCCTTTAATGATGAGGTAGCCGAGCCTCACGCCATCCACCTCTTCAAAACCTGACTTCAGGTCTCCCATCTCGGGCACTAAAGGATCCCCACCATTTGCAGGAAATATATACGTGACGCATACATACACATGGATGTATGTTAATCCTCCGCCAGATGCTGCGTGTGTCTCAAGGCATCCTGCTAATAAAATAACAAAGACTGTTATTCCCGGCGAAGGGAGTGCCAAACTCTAGGCGAAATTATGGAAGGGGGGGAGGAAAAACCCCATGAAATTACACTGACTTGATTCTTGCTTTTTTTTTGGTTTTCGTTTTTTTCAAAAAGAGGGAAAAAACCATCCGGTTTCTGATCTGCCAGTGTGTGTGTTGGTCTGAGTCCTCGCTGCAGATCAGTACCTGGGCCCCTCTATTTCTTCTTTCTCCATTGGAGCACTGTGATAATGGAATGTGAAGGCAGAAAGAGAAAAGAAATGCAGCTGCTATTCCCGCCGCTGCTTTAGCTACAAATAAAATGACAGAGTGAAGCGAGCTCGTCCGGAGACACCTTCATCAATTAATTCCCCTAAAGCCAACGCTGATTGGACACTCCTGACAGGTGATGCAATAAAAATTGATATTCCACCCCTTCCCCCCAAAATCTCCCACTAATTAGCATACCCTTATACTGCCACCTCCCCTCCCAAAGTAAATAATACAGTCAGTATATAAATCTTTCCATTAAACTATCGGAGCTCAGAAACAGCCTGACTCACAGACTTCAGGAGAAGCAGTGTGTGCACGCTAAAAAAAAAAAAAAAAAAAAAAAAAAAAAAAAAAGCAAAAAAAAAAAGCCACCGTATATTCCCCTTTAAAGACATATTGCCTATTTTTGCATTATTTGCATTTTACTGATAACAGCTATTATCGTTTCATAGAAAAGCATTTTACAAACATTATCAAGCTCAGATAGAAAGACCCCACCCCCCCTTTCCTTTGGAAAATGGAGCTTAAGCGAAAATGTGCAGAATAGACTGGTATTTCCCTTATGGAAGTAGGGAAGGAGACCGCAGCTCCAAAGTTAACCCGCGCCATGAACCACCCCAGTACAGACTTACGTTTGGAATTTCTCTCGATTCCCCCCCCCCCCAATGCCTTTTTCACAACCAGAAACAAAGTTACGTGTTTAACCAAGGAACCAGCTCAAGGCTCCAGCTCTGAACACTAACAATTCTACTGGATTTCGGTCTTCTGCTGGGGGGTGGGGTGGGGAGGAGGTAGTTTCGCGTCAGACCCATAACAAAGCATAGATAAGCCAGAAATGTGTACACTTTTCACGATTAACCGTGCTGTTTGGAGGCGGGATTGTCGGAGAGTCCCCTGAACAGCCTATGCCAGGGTTCTGTTCACGACAGATCAGAATTCCAGGGAGCAGATTCCTTCCTTGTGCAGCAAAGAAAAGAAAACGTAAAATGCCCAAGGTGCTTCCAGAGGTTTTACATAGTAGTAATGATGAAAAGAAATGCTGATGTATAATGCAGACTATTTTAGTGGTCTTGGTAGTTTAGGTGAACCACAGCTCTCTTTTTCCCCCCATGAAAACCAAGCATCTGCTTTCACAAAATCACTTTGGATGAATATCAGTATGGTTTAACCTCTTCTTCGTCAAATTGAGGCATAGTTTGCTGTCGTTTTCAAGGATATCCAAAATGCTGCCAAAGGAGAGCAAGAGTCTTCCTACTTGTATTACCAGGGTCCCAAGGCGCTTGGTTGGTTGCTTTGCAGAATTCGGCAAAATCTAACTGTTCCGTGTTTGCAACTACAGCATAAATGCAACCCAAGCATTTATGTTTTCTTCTTCCTCCAAAAATAGACACATCTGTGTGGTTAAAGAATAAATGGGTATTTGTGAGCCTTCAAAGAAAAAAAAGTGTACAATAATTTCTTCAAGTTCAAAAGTTCTACTTTCTCCAGTTTTGATCTGGCTAGTAGGTATTCCCCCAGCCCCTCCCCTCACCCCCCCCCAAATCAGACACACAAAAGTATTGCTTGACAAGATGAAATCTCTTGGCTATAGTTCCCCACCCACCCTCATCTCCCTTGTAATTTCCCCAGAATTTTGAAGAGAATTGGGAATTTCAAGAAGTACATCCGGAAATTAAGGAAGTCTATTTAAGAGAGTCTGTAACCCAGGAGGTTGGGATTTGAAAAGTCAGCCCTGGACTACTGTTGCACTCAGCGCAGATGTAATCGCCGCTCTTCAACTTAATCAATGTGTGTACAAACCTCGATGTCTAGTTCTGGCCTTTGAAATCTAAGGCAAGCATTTCCATCCAAGAAATCAGAGCTACAGCAAATTACATTTTTGTCCCTTGAATGAGAGAAGGATCATAGAATGGATCTCGTGATATTTCAGGCTTTAAACGTAACTGAGAGGCAGCGATGAACAATGCCTCCTCACAGCTAATACCATCCACCGAGTTGGCTTTCTTTTGCATCTGGATCTATCACGGCGCTTTTCTCTTTCACTTTCACAGGAGGCAAAATGCACAAGGTTTAAGCAGAAAGCAAAGTTTCCAGGAAAAGCAGATGCTGGTGTTTGTTTTTAAAAGTAGAATGACCGGAGCCTTTCTATTGCCAGTAACAATAATGCCGTTTTAAAATTCCTCCTGATGTACTTATATACTGCCAGCCCTCTCCTCCCACCCCACCCCCGCCCATTCCCCTCCTCCAGCTTTAAGATTTAGATTGGAGAGTCAAACAGCCAAGAAATAGCAAACTCAAAAACAGTCTTTGAGAAGACATTACAAAAGATTGGCTAGAGCCTCCTGTTTTTTTTTTTTTTTTTTTTTTGGGGGGTAGTTTTAGTTGTTCTTGATTCCTGTTTAGATTTATACACGTGCGCGCGTGTGCGCGCGCACACACACGCCCCACATTCCTATTCCTTCAGCACATAGCAACGTGATTTAGTGACCATTTCAAATTTTTCTTCTTTTTGCTCGTCTTTAAAATACTATAGATGGTTCTAAAACTATAGGATATTACATACTAAAAACAAAATAGAATAAAAGTATAATCTGACCTTTTGGGTCAATTAAAGAAAAATAACAGCCAAGAGATATTAGGAAATGTGTCTATATATTACTATTTATGCAGTGTCTCTGTATGTGTACCCAACACCTTTATTCTTATACATTTTTAATACTCCTATTACACATCTTCTTGTCTAATACATTCTTTTGTTCCTTTAACTTCTCCATCACTATGTGTATGTGTGTGAGTGTGCGCGTGCATGCATCAGCACCCGTGCTGGAGCCTTAGCACACGCACACATACACACTCACAGAATGTGACAGGCAGCTTTCTTGTGGCCATCAGCACACGTTGCATATCCGGGGTCTTCTCCAGGCACATTGGGGGTCGATCCCGATAAAAAGATCTAGCAGAGGCCCCTGAGCGTTCACACATGAAAGGCAGGGGACTTTAAGATGGATTTGCATGCACACCGGGGATTTCGATCAATAGCTACCAACATTTATGGCTTAGATTATTAATGCGAAAGCTGGCCAAAAGAATGGGGATGAAAAATTAAAGGTGTCTGTTATCAATTATGCTTAAAGTTATGCAATAATTTACTTACTTTGCCTGGACGTACAGATCCAGATGCATAAAGTACTATTCTTCAAAAGCCAGGGGGTTCTTTGATAAATTTGTTGACCATGTCAGCTGCCTCTACAATCAAAGATGAACCCAATTCAGATGATGGACTGTATTCAAATTCTTTTTTAAGAAATGATATATCAGCTTCTATGTTTCTCACATGTGGATGGCAGTGCCAGATTAACATTTATGTATATAGCCATCTCTGAATTCAGAGAATTACTGTGAATTTAGTCACATATATGGTATGCATTGAGTTTGTTAATTAAATGTAATCATTTACTCAGTGAGAAATGCATAATCTATGAGTTATTGTAAAAAGCATCTTAGCTTTGAAAACAAAGCTGCTTGCTGAAGGTAAATCTGTAGCAAATAAAAATTGAAATATATTCTTAAATGTCCACTTCTACATTTATTGTAAAAAAAAATCAGCACTTTCTAGTTTTTAAAGTGATGGGCTATGAAGATCTGAACATGTTTGTCTTTACTTATCCCATATGAATGTGCTAAATTTACCTTCAGATGTTCTATTTTGATTTATTTTCACTGTATGTTATGTTTAAATACCATAGCAATTCAGTCTGACCTCTTTCCTCTGGAGCGAAGTAATGCACACGGCATTTACAGTCTTTTAAATGGTTAGCTTGGAAATGCAATAGCAATTTGCAGGAGTAGTTTACTAATGGGGAAAGTTCTTTTGAAAATCTGAAGGAAAACCTGAGAGTACTTTTGCATTTCTATACTACAACTGTCATATAATTAAAGTATTGAAGAGCATTAAAATAATCCTTTTCCTTCCAAGCTCTACATACATAATTTAAATAAGGATCAAATCCCCACCAACAGCCCCAACCACCTAACTTTACCATATACAGTTGTTTTAGTGATAGCTGGGCACATTTTTTTCAAAGTGAATTCACACAGAAGAGAGTAAGGAACATCACAAAGGCCTCAACAATATGAGAGTGGTTTGAAGCATAAAAGAAGTCCCTTATACTATTGATTAAAATTAACTATAATATTTACAACATAAAGTCTGAGAAAGTATAGTGTAGTCTCATGTGGCTGAATTAATTGAGGATGGAGGACAATAAAACCTCCAACAGTTTCTTAGTTGAACTTATCTGATATCACACCTTCCCCAATTTGGGGGAGGGAAAAATGAGACTAGAGAAAAAAAGAATGGTTAAAATGAGAAACAACTGAAATCATGACTTAGAATATTTTTCTTAATTTTTTTTCTTTTTGTCCCATTCAAACATAACAGGGCAAGTCTCCCAAAGGGCCCATCCTTCTGTTCTAAGGCATTTAAAAATCCTGTCTTTAACAGAAGATTGGGACACAGAGTATATGCCATGTTGTCTACTGACCCATAATCAAAATGCAATGACCTTCTACCCTTTTTTTGCCCCCTGACCCATCTTGAATTCAATGCAGCCTTTATAAATTTGCAAATCCTTGGAGGTAAAGGGGTTTTTGTGAGGCTTTGTTCTGAAGAAGCCCTAAGAGTGTGCTTTCTAAATTAGACAAAGGTAAAGGGAAACCGTAGTGGATGAGATTTTATACAGGTGAGCAATAGGCAACTCTTCGAAAACATCTTTTGCAAGCTAAAAAGCAGTTACAAACGTAGAAGACAAGGAGGTTATAGATTGCATCAAATTAGAGTGTGGTACAAATCACTCTCATGATGTAAGAAATGGTTAGGCCACAATCTTCCTGCTTTTCTCATCTTAAGGGCTGTGGGGGACCCTAGTGACCAAGGAAGGAATGGGGGTTGGGGAGAGGCAGGAAAAGAAGGGTGAGAGACCTGCTCTACATCTTTATACAGACACAGTCACTTATCTTTCCCGCTATCAGCCAGTTTAAAGGACACCATAATTATGATGATAAAACAATGCCTCCTTATGGGTGCTGAATAAATAAAGAATGTTTACAGCTCCAGAATCTTTTTAATTCCAATTAAATGCTATCAAAGAAAAGCCACTTTTCCTACTGCAACCGCCTTTCCCCCCAATTATCTTGTTTTGTTGCAGTATTTTCCTGATACACAAGGGACTTGAACAATTGATCTGAATGTAGGG